TTCATACAAGAAAAGCATTTAATTCATCTGCCATTGTTGTGTCTAGAAAGTGCTCTGAAGCCAGAGGCAGTGATTCTGGATGCATATATTTTTAGATAGAAAATCAATTTTTGGCTTCACTCATAAGAGAAACTGGTTTAAAGAAACTGAACCAGATCTCTTATTTCACAGCTTCTAAAGTGCATCTGATTCCAGGTAGTTTGAATACTAAAAGAATTACCAAAATCAAACAAGCAAACAGACCCTCTCCACCCCATTGTGTTTTTAATTATATTAGGAAAAAATTCTTTACTATGAGGGTGGTGAGGCACTGATAGGTTGCCCAGGGCAGCTGTGGATGCCCCATCCCTGGAAGTGTTCAAGGCCAGGTTGGATGGGGCCTGAGCAACCCATTCTAGTTGAAGGTGTCCCTGCCCACGGCAGGGGGGTCGGAACTGGATGATCTTCAAGGTTCCCTTCCAACCCAAACCATTCTATGATTCTATGATCCCACAATAGTATCCAAAGGAAAAAATAGGATAACTGTGATACAGCTTTTTCTGCTTATGTAAGTGAAATATTGAGGGGAAAGCACAAAGTTTTAACTTATTGCTTTGTTAAAACAAAGCAAAAAAAATCTCTGTAGTCTAAATTTGGTATTCTCGTGAGCTTTATGCAATCGGTCATGCCTATCTCGTATTGGCCTTTTAGCCACCAACGCGCTTGCAACAAACGTGGGTAGAAGCCCTTCCCAAATCTTTGTTCGCGAAGCCTAGCCATGAAAATAGGCAGGGAGTATAATTCCACAAAGCTTCAGGTTGTTTTGTTTTTTGTTTTTTCCTGACACTATCCAGGGATGTTCTCAATACTACATAAGCCTTTGGAAAAATAGTTTGAAAAACTTAGTATCTCTGCCTAGCTGCTGATTATGAAAACAGCTAATATAGCAACTTCTGAGGAATGTAAACTGTATAGAGCACCAAGGTTAGACAAACGGGAGACAATAATCACAGGTTTGTAAGTCTCGTAAGTGGAAAGAGAGTGGCTGGTGGAAGCCTCTGCCCTCGGGAGCTGCCTCGGGCCGCGCCAAGCAGGACACCGCTCCGAGCGGCAGCGGGATCAGCGGCGCCCGCTCCCTCCCGAGCCCGGCTGGGCACCTGCGGGGCGGCTCCCTGGGCCGGCTCCCGCTGCCATTGGCCTGGCGCCGCTTCCCGCCTCCTTTGAAAGCTTGGGAAGGGCGGGCGGCAGTAGCGCCTCGGCAGTCGGGCAGCAGGGCCGGGCCAGCAGCGCCGGAGGCCGCAGGTAACCCCGGGCAGCCCGCGGGGCGGCCTTTGCTCCCGGAGTTTTTCCTCGTGGGGATTGAGGTGGGCTCGGTTGGGCTGGGCTGGGCTGGGCTGGGTTGGGTTGGGTTGGGTTGAGCTGAGTGAGGTTCACTGAGGTTTCTTTGCTCGCGAGTTCTTCATACGACGTGGTAACGCTAAAAGAAGTTTGTGTGCTTAGTATGGCAGTGCTTGTCTTGGCAGCTTCGTGCTTTATAGGAAGTAGTAGACTTCTTTTGGTGGTTTTTTTTTTGTTGTTGTTTGTTTGGTTTTTTTAATGTTTACTTGGGTTCAGCTTCTATTGGCTTGTTAGGGTAGGCTTGCTATCTGAGCAGCCGAATTAGTGCTTGGGCTAGCTGTGATGATTTACAAAGGTGTTTCTTAAGGCCCTTAGTAGTAGGGGGCAGTAGTAGGACAGCACTGTGTACTTGGGAGCTGGTGCTTATGAAGTAGTGATGGAAAAATTTGTCTTATGATTTCTTTTGTGGCTCATCTTTTCATCCACTTGTTTGGTTGCCAAAACATAGTGACAATACTTGTGATTTTACAAGGTAAGCTTTTTTGATCCTGTTCTAAAACCCTGGATGAAGAAAGAGAACTAATGAATGATCGAAATAATAATCTGGAGACCTAGAATTCATGTCATTGCTGAAATGCATTTAATTCCAAAATTGTAGAATTTCTTTTTGTTAGGTGGTGTTAAATATTTAGCAAGTGTATGCTGATGAAAAATCTCCTTATGATTTAATATTCTACCAATATTGGGCTTTAGTGTGTTTTATTCTTTCATAATTGGATGGGAATAATAAATCATTTTGGAGTTACTTCATCTGTTTCAAGGTAGGAGTATCAACTAGCACCTTTGAAGATATAATAGAACTGCTGTGAGAACCAGGGTGCAGAATATGTTAGACCTGAATAGAAATAGTTTGTAGGATTGCTCTGATCTATATGCTACTTGGGAAAAAAGAAGGAAAAATTATGAGAGACTATAATTATGGGTGTGTATGGTACACTTAAGTATAAAATACCTATATATGTTTTCATCTGCCTTTAACACAGCTGCAATGAAGGCTACAAATATGTGTGAGCTCCTTAGAACATGCATACTTATACAATTAATTAGTTATGAAACTACTCAGGCTGAGCACAAGTACATGTTTTTCCCTATCAAATTTCTGCACAGATGTCTGATATGGCTTGGCTACACAAATAGGCTTTTTTTTTTTTTTGTACTACTGTTTATTCTGTCCATAAACTGTAAAGTCAGCTTGAACTAGAAACTTCTATATGGTTCTTGTTTCCTCCCCCCAACATACCCCATCTTGCAGCTTCAGTTCTCCCATGGTAGAACTAAGCAGGATTCTGATGGTAGCTGCTTTTGAAAACTGCCTGGGTGTCTCTTTGGAAATAGTCAGAATTTTAATGCACAGGCTGGCTGTGTTCGTTTATAGAATTACTGTTTCCAATAATATCCCTGCTGATCTCATGAAAGGGGGGAAAAGTAAACAGTAATGAAAAAGATACTGGGTTTGTTCCAACTGAAAAGAACAGTAATTTTTTTTCCCCTCAAAACTCACTTTTGTACTCTCTGCCTCCCTGGGAGGTGAGGGGGGTTGTGGCTTGTATGTTAATCTCCCCATGGAATTATGTATGCACATGAGAAGTTTTTTTCCTCATAAAATAAGTTATCATTTTGCAAGTCTTATGTTCTCTCTTATAATTTCTGTCCAAAAACGTTCTTGTGAAGTTAATCTAGTTTAAGGAAAAGAGATGTGCTGCTAATTTCTCTGACAAGTTTTGTGACTTCACAAATATGCCACTTGCTTTCAAAAGTTTGTTGTTCTGCAGGACTTGCAAACAGTAGTTACCAGATTAGTTGAAGACCCTCTCCTGCAAGCTGCTCCTCACAGATGCACCTCTGAGCTCAACAGGAGCTCTGTGACCAAGTTCTAGTCTTCAACAGGTCATCTGCAAGGACAGGCTTAAATGCTGGGTATGAAGTGTAGCCTTGAACAGAGTGAACTCATGTACTGCTATTTTTTTTTTCTCAAATGCAGTGGGAATAATATTTAAAGTAAAGGCAGTGTTTCAGATTACTTTTATATCTAAATAATTTGGAAAAATGCCACTAAAGTTTCTTGTCTTTCCTTTTAACCTTCCTTAAATGGCTTTTTTTTAATGAAGAAAAATAGGGGGGCCTCTGTTTAGCCTTTGCTATACCTATATGTATATTTGCCTGTAGTTTGTTTTTTTTTTAACTCTCATTACTATTTCTACTGTTGAACTGTTACTCTCTCAGGTTTTATCTTCTCTGTATAACTCTTTGAAGTGAGACACAATTCTGCAGGGGCTTGCATGTGATTAAGTGTACGTAATATGTAGATGTCTTTGTAACCAGATGAAAGCAAGGACCCTTCCCTGCCCATGGTACCCCTATGGCTTTTCTGGATTTCATTTTAAAGGACCCAGCTATGAGAATTGGAGAGTGGTGGTGGGTGATCACGGCGGCAGTAAAGAGCGCTGTGAGGTTCCAACAGACTTCGATTCAGCACTACAGGTGTGTTTGTGCATTTACCTAGCAACAGGAATAGCGGTAGCCTAGCTGAATTTTTTATCTGGTTATAACAGACTGTTTGCATTAAGCCTGCAGAAGATAAAACTTAGAAATCCTGGCATCCTGTCTGTACCAGTGCTCTGCCTGTTGCTGTTTGGATCAGGGTAGTTTCCCTGTCCCACAGAACTCTGAGAGTGCAGAAAATTTTTCCACCCTGTGCTGGAATAAAGCAGATTCCCCCTTCCCTTCCCCCAAGCTTTTGTGGAAAAAAACAAAGTGCGAGCAACCCAAGCAGAATAGCCAATAGCTGGGTGAAGGGGGCTTTCCAGGGGTGTGACGAACAGAGGGTCAGGTGCTTTCCTTGAATCCAGGGCTGCGTACCGGGCCGCCGCTCTGTCATGCGCCCGCTCGGCGCTGCAGCCGGGTCACTGCACGGCAGGGCAGGTGTGTATCGGCCAAAGCGAGTTTCAGTGAAGATGAGTTGACACCCTCTTCCCCC